TGCTTACCTCGAGGTATTCTGCTTTATTGCCATTACCTTTTGTGGCCTATTTCTCTAATGACTGTAATGGAATACAAAAGAGATTTCTCATTGTGTTTACCCTGTTACCTTATACATGACTCTCAGAGTAACGAGTCATGCTGAGAAGTGGGAATTTTCATGCAAAAGGTTTTGCTTTCAAATCTGAGCCACTTCATGACCACCCACCCTGCTGAGTTTTCTAATGCTGCCTATATTTGCTTGGCCACCATTCTTTTTTTTTTTTTTCACCCACATAAGAACACACAATATTTCAAAAGTCAGCCACAAGTGCAGAAATTTGCTCCATTGCTTGCACTAAAAAAAGAAAGTCAGGCACAAGAATTAATGGGTCCTACTCAGTCTATCAGCACCTAAAGGCACAGAGAGAGAAAAATAATCTGCAGCTGGGGAAAACTGAGCTGGGTCAGAGGGCAGTGCCTGCATCTGCATTCACTGAGAGGCAAAGAGCAAAAAGAAAGAGTCTCTTTTTGTTGCAACTCAGCACTATTTTAGAAAGCACAGATACTAACTTAATTACCACAGTTCCCTTTTGCACTAGAGCACTGCAGCAGGCTATAAATCAATACTTAAGGTCACATTGCTAAAAGCACTGAAAAAACAGGCTTTTCTCTCAGTATAGCATGTTGTTTACTGCTTCTGCATCAATGTCACGAGAGTTCAATATCAGATAAGGAACAGGGCTAAAACAGTGATTGCAGAAGAAATAAGAATTACAAAAAAAAAAATAAGGTGTAAAGTGAGCAAGTCCAACTCAAGGCAGATATCAAGACTTCATCAAATCTTCTGTTCTCTCTAAACTAAAAGATCTGAGAAGCATCAGCAGCTATCCAGTACTTTGAAATATGTTCCACTCTGTGCCTAATGCTTGTTTTGGAGGGAGAGTTCATAGGAGAAGAGCAGACTTAAAAAAATTACAGTAATTTCTGCTGAGTATATCTTTGGCAGCTTTACCATACATCTGAAGTCAATGATACACGTGCATGCATGACATCTTATTTCAATAAATTGTTGGGAGCAGGGCTCATGAGTTTCAAAAATAGATTTTTTTTCCATTTGCTTTTCTATTATACCTGCTGACCCAGATATTTCACAATCTTTGGAAGAGAAAACAATTTATTTCAGATTGGGAAGATATGGAAAAGGCACTTCCAGCTGAGATATGCTTAACAGAACATCAAATGGCTTAGCCAGAGGGAAGCTTCTTTTTTGTTTGGGTTCATTGGCAATCTGCTGCCAATAGTATTATTAGACAGATAGCAGACTCACCTCCAGGTGCCGTGGGTACCACAAGAATGAGACACAGCATGCTGTAAATACCTAATTAAGATGCTAGATTGTCTGCAGCTTTGCATTTTACATAATATTTTTTGGAGTTTATAAAAAGTAGAATTGCAATTTATGGAGAAAATTAAAACAGATGGAAAACTATTCAGTGTTAAAACACAAATTTCAAAGCAATTTTGACTTTGGAAACATTAAAAAAGACTTACAACTAGAAGAGCATGGACACAGGGAATATCCATGCACAGGCTTACAGGGGTGCATTGTATAGCCCACCAAGAAAAATAAGCTTAGACATTTGAACTCCATATATCAAATTTTCTGCTGATACTTTTCTCAAAAAATTCTGAGAAGAAATGTAAAAGCACAATATCAAATTGTCTTGATGGTGAGATTATTTTTTATCCTTTTTCACAAGTGCAAATAGCTCAAATAACCTGTGACATGTTTGTCCTCATACCAACCTTCTCCAACATAATAGATCCAGCTTCCTGAAACACTGTTTTGCGCTTGTAGACACCAATTATCTGCTCATTCCAACTGGAATTATGAAATACTCATAAGGTAGTTTGGAGAGCATAAAACATATTGTTCTTGGGATCTAAGCTAGATTTTGGCACGCAGAAGAAAAAAGAGAGTCCATGTGCATCTTCATGTTTACATGTAAAGACAAAGGTTAATTATTTTTCTTTGGCAACAAGACCCTCAGACAGCTAAAGAAGATGCCTAGACTAGGAAGGAGAAGAAGTGTTTATCAACATTTCTCTTTTGAAAACCTTTGGTCTTCTGATGATTGGCATTATACAAACTCCTGAACAGTTACAGACAGAGCTTCATTTGAAAGTATTTTCAGTGAGTGATGCACTTTTGGATGTATTTAGGCTGGAAATTTTTGACATCTTCCAGATAATTCCAGAATATTGGGATAAAATCACAATATTCAAAAATATGCCCAGAGTAAATCTACTACTTCCTTTTTCATATGATAGAAATGTATTTGAATTAGTTTCTGAAGCCTTAAGTAGTATCACGAGAGGAAGGAAATCTGAACACATTTTAAGTGATGGCAAACTAGACAATGTGTTAAGGTCTAACAGCACGGTATTTACAGTATTATTTACTACACTAGCAGTTCTGAACACCCAACTAACTACGGTCCTTATGCATCCAGCATTCACATGCCACAAAAAAGAAAAAAAGTTAGTATATTTATGTATTTATGTAAATATTTATGTAAATTTTGTAAAGTTAGTAAATTTATGTTAAAAAAGTTAGTAAATTATGTAAATTTGGTCATTTGCTCTGGCTCACTCCCATCATCAAATAGCTATAGCGAAAGCTATAATAAACAAAATACCACTATGAATAGGGAAGTGGCTGGAGAGAAAATATTCAGCCAAAACACTAAAAAATAAAATAAAGTACAGTTTGGTTTTCTTTTTCTTTTTTTTCTTTTTTCTTCCAGAAGAGACCTGGCATAGCTTGAAAGTCAGATTTAAAGCAAGAATTTGGGAGAAACATAAATGAGTGTATTCTACATTATATATAAAATTACACTTTCTGGATAATGACTGGGACTGTTGCATGATATAAGTAGCATATAAGCAATAAGCCAGGCTGGCTCTCTGTTGTTGTTGTCACCTGAAATTTGTACTGCTGCCTACATTGCAGTTCTGACACTGAGGAAGTCTTCTTATACGCAAAGAAGGGTTGATCATTAATCACAGGCTTGCTCAAGCAGTTCCACCATAAATACTAAATTTGCATAAGATTCACTTCTGTGATATTCTTCCCCTTCACACACTATCATAACGCAGAAGTAACAAAATCAAAAAGAACACTATCATCAAACAAATTTTGCTTGAGAGCTGCATTATGATACTAAAACTCATTCTGAAATTCTTGAATAGTGCAGTTTTCATCTTTATTACATGATAGCTTTTTGGCCATACTGAGTGTATAGTTTCAAATTTAAAAGAAAAAAAAAAGACTCTGCAATTATTTTTTCATTATTTGAATCCTTTTTTCTAAATACAGTCTCATAAGTGCACACTTTGTGTACGCTGGATTGTATTTATATCTTTATATACCATCATGGCCCAAAACTCTGCTCACAACAAGAATACAGATATCTGAAAATGCCCTTAATAATACTGAGTGTACATGTATGTAACATGTCTGACTGTCTTGATTTTGATTCACTAATAGCATAAAGAAGGAGGGAATACTGTTATTTTTAAACATCTGTCTCATCTATATTCCATACATGTCTTGATAATTACACAGTATAAAATTAACAGTGATTCTGCCTACAGGTATAATAGATGCATATAAATGTCTGTGTATTCTAATGACTACAACAAGCAATAGAGATTCAAATAAATTTGCATCTATTCCTGTCTCCTTTATGGATTTTCACTGTAACCTAGTCAAGTTAGAGAAAATTTTATCTTTTCTCTATCCATAAAATGGAGTAAGGTTATTTATCTATGTCCCAGCAATGTTATGGACTTAGTTACTGCAACTGAGGGACTGAATTGGTTTACATGCTTTTGCAGGAGAGTTCCTATATGGGATACTTCCTCAAAAGATCAGTGTATGAAAGGGTTGTTAAAGCAGCACCAGATAAACTATTGACAGGGAATTGGAATCAACAGAAAATATATTGATCCTTAAAAGTTAGGAAAATATGCAACATATTCTTGAGCACCATCTACTGGTACAACAAATGGTCAAAAATGTCCATAAAAACATCAATAAATATGTCCATCTTTAACAAGTGTGCATAGAAACAGACGCCCTGTATGTTCTGGTGTTCTGCTACGTTCATTTGGTGTTTAGTGTTTGCTTTGTGTATTTGTGTACTTAGGGGCAGAAGATAGCAGGTAGGAGTGTATAAAAATCAGATGTCTTAAAAGTGAAATATTTTGACCAAAGTGTAAAACACAGCAATTTGGAATATGTCATCACAATGCCTCCCTGGCCTAGATCATATGTTCACTTTGTGCCTCAAGCTCATCAGCAGATAGACCTGCCAGATTAGACTACATCTCCCAAGTTTCATATCTTCTTTTCTTCTATGTCACATTACTGTCACTGTTACATTACATGTACTGTAAGCTAAAAGCTCTGTCATTAAAAGAAGTTGGTCATCAGAAGCATGGCTCTGTATAATTTAGGAAGACAGACAGACATACTGAATCTTTGCAAAATTTAGGGTGTAAGTGAAAGTCTAGATGCCACCCCATGATGCAATCAGACTGTGGAAAGAAAATTCATTCAGACCTAAGAGCTTAGAAGCCCACGTGGTTCAGACAACCTAAGGTCACATCACACTCTGGTGCAGCAGCATTTACAGCAGCAGATAATCCTCTAACCAGCATAACTTGTTTCACTCCGGTAGTGGGTTTTACCATAACGCATAAAGCACAGCTTTGCTGACATGGACCCATCCATAGCATGAGTGTTTCAACATTTTCAAGCACAGCTGGAGGACAGGAGGGTGCAACAAACCTTCACTGTGAATCTGGAATTGTTTACCAGCTCACCTGGCAGGCAAGATTTCACTAAGCAAACGCCAGCCTCTATTGACCCTCTTTGGGCACTGTCAGGCAGAAAAGTTTTGTATCTTCATGATAAGGGTTCACAGTGTTTAGGAGATATAGATTAATTCTTACCACTTGTATGGAGAACTCTAGATTGTCCGGTGACAGAACTAAATCTATCCAGTAAAAGATCAGGGAGGAACAAAACATAAAATTCAAAATAAAAACTGGAAGACTGTATGGAAGAAGGCTAGAAGAGTGGTTAAAAAGTTTAGTTAGCCAAAATCTAAGTTAGCTGCAGTTCAAGTAGATCTATGGAAATTAAGGGCTCAAAATATTCAGATTATTACCAATTAGTACCAATAATGAGAGATGTCAAACAGATGCTCTACAATTACAGGACAGTGAACTTAATTGCTCACAGCTGAAACCACAAAAAGAGAATCTTATGGAGACAAAATGGTAAAAATCAGAGATATTACCAACTTAGTCAAAAACATCTTCCATACTCCATCCTCTTGCCTGTCTTATACACAAAGAACCACTCCTTAAACCTTAAGGAAACTAAAATTCTACCCTTACCTTGGTGCATTTTATTTCTTTTAAAGACACACACACTCATATATATACACACACACACATTAAAATGTCCTGAAGAAGAAATTTGTTTTTCCTTCCATATAAATTATGTAAAAGTCCAAGATATAAAATACTGTGTATGCCTTATAATCAATAATACATATGTTTTTTCCATAAACGAGATCAGCCTTTGCATTGAACAAACATTTTAAATATCATGAAGTCACCTAAAAATTACCTGCAATTGTAGCAAATATAGCAAATGTAGCAAAAAAAAAAAAAAAAAAAAAAAAAAAAAAAAAAAAAAAAAAAAACCTGGATTTCAAGTATTCAAGCTTGAAACCAGCTTTCTGCTGGCACAAAGTTGAAATCTTTCCACCTAATATATACCTCCTGTTTCTTTGAGCCACAAGTGACATTTTCCAAGACCAAATCTCCACAGTAATCCCTCTGACTTATTGGTTTAAAGGAATTTTGGCCCATGACATTGGTTAAGAAGACTGGAAAAAATTGGGTGACATGCCAAAAGTCTGTCAATGGATCATGATCTGATAATCACCCAAGTGCCAGGGCTCTGCAGCTCCCCACACTTTGACTCTCTGCATAAAGATCAAGCTCTACTGACCCTGTGGGTAAGTGCCTGCCACTCGAGTAAGAGCAATTGCTCAGAGACCTGATTCTCCAGAGCAGTGTGTAAATAATTGATGTTTCTATCCAGATACCAAATTGAGGTGAGATCTGAAGAAAGAAGAGTTCAATTTAGAGTGAATGAAAATGTATTGCTATGTTTTTTCTCACTGGAGTATAAAAATAAGACCGGTGTTTAGACTCTGGAGTTTGGAATTTTCCTCCCTTTTCCAGGTGAATACAAAATGAAAAGTTTAGCTAATAAGTTAAGGGTTAGAGTCACAAAACTGTTGAAGACACATGGCTTGCTTTTTTACCCAGTCACTCAGTGACTAAGACCCTGTTCCAGGAAAAGAAGACCAGATGACCACTTCTTTCCCTGCCTTTTCACAAATGGCTCTGGAGCAGACAGGTCTACTCTCTAGCATGATCCTTGCTATTGTATCTCATATCTACAAAACGCATTTGGATATATTGATGTGTCCTGTCTGGTGTTGTTTGTTGTTGTTGTTTGTTTGTTTTCTTCTTTTTTTTTTCTTCTATGGTATGTGCTCTATGCTCTCAACTAGCTTCCCATCCTGCGCTGATGTTTCACCGAGCGTGGTGACAGCATGTTGAGGCTTTCATTTTCTAAAAAGTGTACAAAATAATCACTCCAATAGCTTTCCTATACTGTAACGAGCATGCTGAGAGGAGGTTAATTCCCACACCATCCCATCCCAGGTGTCCTATGTGCAAAAGAGTGTGGAAATAGAGTACTCTTCTCCTCATCATTTTTGCATAAAATTGCAAGAGGAAAGTCAAAATCTGACCCCATGTGATTAGGTGTTAAATAGTCCTGTGACAAAGCTATAAAACATTTTATTTACCTAGTTTCCAAAGACAGAATGGAGGAATGAAGGACATGCCCAAAAATAATGACAGAACTGGGAAAACTTTCTAAGAATCCTCTCCTCTGTGTTTTTGCCACACTCTTATCATCACTTATGCTAGCAGACATGATTCACCCACTCTGAAACTGCAACTATTTATGAAATTAGCCCTTGTTTATAATTTAATGCTTTTCTTCACTTCATCATCGGGTCAAGGGATCATTATGGTGGTGGCGGGGATGGTTCTGAGCATCCATGGCATTTTTAATCGTACAGGCCTCATTATAAGATTTTGTTTCAAAAAGCAATTGTGTACTTCATTAAAAGCAAAACAAGAAAGTCACCTAAAGTAACACACACACACACAAAGAAATAAATGAAACCAAGTTTTCTGTGACACCACCAATTTCCACTGTCTGGATGATTAGAGGGCCCTTTTTTTTAAGCAAACACAGCCTCCTTCTTTCTCTTTGAGCTTTATTTAAGTACTTGTGCTAATTGCATATAGCAGCAAAATACAGCAGCAAGTGTTTCAAAGCTAGCACGGGTGTGAAAGGGAATAAACAAGCTATGGTAGATTAAACACTGTGGAGTGCTCTTTTTCTGTCACTGTCAGAGTGTATAATAAAGAGTCCCATGCTATTTTACTGTTTCTGTCCTTGTAATGCATGCCAGATACCTATAATTTATGACACAGAGCCATTGCTTCATGAGTTGCACTTCCTTTTAAACTGATGCTGAACTCGTTAGTGGGGGAAATGTGACAGGTTGATAGTGGTTTCTTATCTTCAGGTTAAACATTGTCAGAATAATTCATGGTCAGGCAACTGTTAGAACTGTAATGTTTTTATAATTAGAGCTGGAGTGGACTATCCACTAAGGATTTCAGCTCTAGCAAACAAGCCCCCTTCCCTGCCAGTCTGAAGCATGTTGCCTTCCCATCCATCAGATTTCCAGGAGGAAAAATTCTGAAACTAAATCTGCTGAGCTCGAGGGAAATGTCATAATGGTCCCCAGCACTGAAGCTACCAGCACTGCAAAAAGCCAAAAAGCCAAGGATGACTCTATTTCCATCCATGGCTATTCAAAACAAAATGAGTCAAGCTCCAGAAATAATGAGATTTACTTTAAAATCATGATTGGGGGGGGGGGGGGGCAGGAAGCACAGTTTTGACTCTATATTTGTCCTTTAAACTATAAATGATTAGTATATACATATTGAAGATTTTCACCTATGCAGGTCAGAAACTTCATTTCCATTTCTTTTAACAAAGGCTCCAATTCTTTTGGAATCATATGATTGGCAGAGCTAGAGATTTCTTAAAAATACCATGAAACTCATGATAAAATTGTTCAAACTCACTCTACAGAGGTTAATTGAAATGCAGTCTAACAAATGTTTATTGCTTTATTGCGCTATTATATCAAACCAACTTATGTCAATGTTATATGAATGAGAGATTCTAGCTCGCTCCGACTACTGTGCAAGTTACATCTACAAGGAGTTGTTATTTTTTGAATTTCTCAAGTCTCAACAGAGGATAGTGATTCAAATTTTTAAATTATATGCTAGGGGGTAAAAGTGTACTCAGGTTTGCACTGTCTGCATTACACCTCTCTATAGGTTTAGTGGTTTGCATTCTAGATTGCTCAGCCCAGAACTGTGGGAATGTATATATATTTTTCCAAGGGACTTTCCAAGTCCAGTAGGAAGAAGATTAGCTGTTTTTTTTGTTTGTTTGTTTTATTTTCAACACTGGCCCTTTGTGTCTGTCCATTCATTACCATAAACAATTCTTATTTATTTTGTTTCACTATTTTTGTACATTCCTAAAACCCACAAAAGACTCTGGTGCCAAGCCATGATTTCATGGATGACACATATCTCTAGCTTCTACCTCATAACATATCGCATAAGAGCTATTTAGAGCTGGATCACATCAAGGAATCCACTTTTTATCCTTCCTTGAAGTGGATGAGTTGAGGCTTTTCTTTCTAAATTTAAAAAACATACCAATAGAAAAAAAGTCAATGTTTTTGAAATAGAGAAAAAAATAAGGCAAACCAATAGGCACACACACACATGCATTTTTAATAATGTATGAACACTTATTTTGAGACTAATAGTCATAGCAGAGATATGATTGCTATATGTCTAAAAATCCCAAAAGGCAAAATATAATTAAAATCAGGACTGTTGAACAAATAAACCTGTTAAATACACAGTATTACCAGGCAAAATAGCAATGCATTTATCACTTTGCCACTGTAATTACACTGACTGCTGCTCTTCATGCATATATTAATAACCCCCCAGCATTATGGAGGCTGAAATATAAATTACAATGCACAGACTTAAAAGAAGGTTTTAGCCAAGCAGTGCTGTGGTAATACGTGTGTGTGTCTATATACATACATATATATATATGTATATATGTATGTATTAAAAATCTCAACATTGAATCTGATTGCTAGTTTTACTGGAATAGTCATTTCTTTCAGTCTCAAGAAACCCAGTCTCCCTAAAATGGTAATTAATGAAGTGTCAGCTTGGAAAGCCTGGCAAGACTGGGTTTCAGATACTGTAGGTCAAGCGACTCAGCCTGGGATGCTGAAAGTATCCAAAGTGTGAAACTCACAGAAGATATTCAGTTTATCTTGAGAAAAGAAAGGAAAGGAAAAACAGTATGTCATTGCTGTTTTCTGTGTAAATAAAGACTACTATTTTAAGGCTGTTCAGCTTATTTCAGGAGGTGCTGCTTAATCATCGATTGGCTGGATGTGGCTTTGAGTGGGTGTGCTAGCTATTAGCAGCAGAGAGGTCAGGAAATTCATTCCCATGGGCTGAAATCTTCTGAACCTGGAAACGAGCAAAGAGACTTGGAAGTGACTTTTGACCGTTCAGATGAATGATGCCAAAACTTCTTTTAACGAATTGCAATTCTTATGATGTATAAAGCATGGCCTGTGTTTTGAGGATAGAAACTGTCAAATACTGTCTTTTGGCCTGCAAAATTACTGAAAATGTGAGGTTTGTTTGAAAAAAAATAGGAAAAGATTCTCACACAGCATGTTACCTTAAGGGCCACTTACCGCAGGCTTATTTAATGTTAATAATTGACTAATAGCTGTTAAAACCATATTACAGGCAAGAGTAA